CGTTGTACCTCTAATTTTTGTTCCAGCGGCAGCTGCGAAAACGGAGTGCGAAGTAGTGCATCAACCTTATTCATTATGAGGTCTAAGGCTAAGAAATGCAAAGCCGGAAAGAAGTGAGGAGCTCAAAAGGAATGTGGAAAATCGAAAGCAAATGGACTAAAGGTCTCTAACTGATTCAAATAGCGAAACAAGCGACAAAAACGAAGGCGAGGAAACTATCAACTCTTCAAGCAACCAACGAACGAGAAGGAATGCGTGAATATGTCAACACGTTGTTGTAAGAAACGTCGGCATTGTGTCGTCATAATTTCGGGGCTAGCCCCGATGATTTAGTAAAAGAAACAGAAAACAAACGAGACAAACGCGGCGAGTGGAAGATAAAAGAGAGAATACGATATACAATGAGTAACTGGGGCAAAATCGGCGTCGCCCCGTCGACGTTCGGCGAAGGCTTTGCGAGCGAAAAATGAACCATGTCGGGAGAATATGGCTAGTGTAGACCAAAGTGACTAGAAACCAAGTGGAGACACCGCGGGCGATGATGCATATCGGACGCCATTCTGTGTCCATCGAATCGCGCGATAGTTATCTTACTACAGGTATCGCGTGTGAGTTATGCAACTTCAAAACCTCATATCTCACTAACCTTACATTATATTTAGACAAGTTTTATATTGTTTGAGAGACAATCTAGGAGACTAATTATGAGATGGGGATAAACTGACCCTATTATCGTACAAAAATCGGCGAAATTGAAAGCGTGAATTTGTTTGAAAAACTTTTCAATTAAATGACAAAACCTCCGATTTGTTCTTGTTTTAATCTAATATGATATCGACACATATACTTTTGTAAGTTTGACATTTGTAGAGGGTAAAAATAGCTTTCGAATGGTATCATTAGATTGAATTTATCGTGCACCAGTAAAATTGTATACGCTATTTTATTCAATGTTCTCCAATTCTTCATATGTCCGCTGCGCCAACTTGAGTTAAACAGCGACGATCCTTAATTACTTCGTTACGCAGCGATCTTTCGCAATTACGTTGCGACCAAAGTGTTGCAACGTAGCAGCTCTGCGTTCCTTACGAAAAACACTTATCACTTACCCTGGTAAGTGTGAAACATCATAAACCTAAAGCATACGTTTAAAGCAGGTATTATTTAAACCGCGGCCGATGCTACAATACTGATATAATTGGAACTCCAGCTGTGAACGACAAAATTCGCGATTGCGTAATTTACAACGTTCTGCAGAACAACGTCGCCTGAACGTCAATGCCTAATTGTACTTTGCGTCGTTACGAAAACTTCGCTTCTAATCGTTCACCGATTTTGTTCATTTACCGAAGTCAAAATGGGGTATCCAGATGATCCCGCAAAACGACAATGAATCGCACTCTAGTCTCTAGTTATATATGAATATATATCGCGGGTACTACAAAGCCATGTCACGCAATGATATTGTGATCGCGCAAAGGATAGAGATAGGTAATAAAATACTGAATACATGTAAATGGAGAGGTAATCATGTTACGCGGCCGCGATCCATCGTTTCCAAATGATACATTGGCCTTATTGTTTATCTACGACTTATCCGAATTGAAAAACATCCATAATTAAGGTGGTTTGTTGGGTTGGGATTTGACAGCGCCCCGCAATTGATAAGAAATGAATTAACATTAGAATATGTGTGAAAATTATTAATTTTACTCAAATACCATAAGAAATGCATATGCGACCGTATATGGCCATATCGTTATCACCCAGTCATATACCGAAGAGAGATTTATTTTATTTTTTTTAGCGAAAACTGCATTACGTATTGTTTTATAATTTATTTGTTATTGTATCATTATTATGTTTTCTGGTTTGACGAAATAAATAAATTCTCTCTTTTCTTTTAACCCTGATATAAGCCGATATCCTTCATTTCGTACATGTAGAATATTTTTTTAATATACCGTATTTTCCGGCGAATATGTCGCTTTACTAGACCCAAATTTTTGACCTGATTTGGGGGGGGGTCGTCTTATTGGGCGAGTATGATCATTTTCATTTTTTTGGTGTCGCCTTATTATTGAATCCGGACAATAGAATACCTTCGGCGATAGCATCCCCCACGTCCTCATCGGGTTAGTTTAAATAAATCGACATTTTCGCGCTGTGAATCTGGAATTGTAAAGCTGTGATTATCATATTTGAATTAACATACCGTATATGGATTGAATATTAAGCTACAAGAAAAGTCATTATAGGCTATTTTAACCAGTGCGCAAACGCGGCAACCGCTCAAAAGGCATTGCAAGGTAATTTAAGATTCCCGATGTTGATGCGATTTTACTACCCCGACTTATTGGCCGGTTATATGTAAAAACCCATTTTTTTTCAGGCTTAAAAGCAGGCCTCGTCTTATTCGCCGGGTAGACTTATTCGCCCGAAAATACGGTATTTTGACAATGAACACATTGTTGAACAAATAGTTGCAAGTTCCCGTAGTGTAGTTCCGTCAGTTTGTTAAAATAAGTTAGCGATACTTACATCAGGATTTTTATAGTAAAATAAGCATCTCTTTGTTTAACATTTTTGGTCTTATTGTGTGTATTGTATTGATTTATCGAGTGAAGTTGGATGACTTTAACCTTAACTTCGTATATGCTGACCAATGACCATACCGCCGAGATATCTGAGGAATTTAAATTAATTTTTCAGAAGAATGTTCATCCGATTTGCCGCTGCGAAAATTTGGTCCAAATTATTAAGCGTCGTTTGTTTTTGATTCAACTGTTTAACGATCGCAGGTTTAAATCACTTACCGTAGTTATGCCGTAGTTTGATCCACATTTTCCAAATGTATTCTAAATACTAGTTATTTGACGTCATCTGCTGCTGACCACGGCAATTTTGGAGTCGCTGACACGACGACTTTATAGTTTATTCGCGGCTCCTCGTCAATTGCAATCGAAATATTGTGTTATTTTTTTTCCAATAGAAATATTTTTGTGTTCTTTGTTTTAATAATGTAATATTTCATGCATGACGGAAATAAATATCTGAATCTGAATCTATCGCTTACAGCGATAGAACTCTGGACACAAAATGGCTGGTGTGACGTCACAAACACGCTTATAACGTTACCAATGCATGTCCTCACTTGGTTTCTAGTCACTTTGGTGTAGACAGTCTGTGCAACCGATATTGAGGTATTTTTCGAATATTTTTTATTATACCGAAAAAACAACCGGGGCATTGCACCGGTTGGCCCTATTGACGCGCCGGCACTGGACTATATTCAATTTATTTTACAGCAAACATGATGGATCAGGTGAGTTCGTCATACTTCGTAGCATATTTTTCGTACAAAAATGTTCACTGCAGAACTTTTGCAATCTCTCCGTCGTAAAAGAAAGTAATCATCAACTAATCATTAAGGAGACGTGACACGGATTATTAGTGACTCGAAAAGAATACGAGCTGAATATCGTTGTATGTGACCTCGGAACGGTGATTATGTCAAATCATGCGCTGTTGTGATTTGCGTAAAACCCAGTGTGTGTCTCAAGCAAAACTAACACTAAAAGCATACTGAACTGGTTTGCTTCAAATATTCTTTTACTGATGTACCCAAGATACCCCTTAGCATGATGGGCGTGGTCATTTTCATGCATGAGTAATTTAATTTACGAGCATTTCATTTTCTGTTTGATTCCTATAAATTGGCAGGAAACAACAAAGAAACCAGTGCATGATGGAATCATGTTCATATATTTGTTTGGTTATATTTAGAATTCATATATGGGTTATACGGTTAATAATAGTAAAGGATATATGAAGTAAAAGTATTGAAAAGTAAGTTTCATTCGTTAAGACATACTTGAGCGGCCTTCTGTTTTGACTCATTTTAACCACAAGCCGACTTCACTGACGAATAAAAATTTGATCCTACAGCATAAATAGAAATATAAACAAAATGGGATTACAATGCCTGAAAGACAGTCAATGCAAATTAAAATTTCAGCTAATCTATGGTTCATTCATATTCTATGTATGGTCAAACACAATCCAACAACAACCCAAATATTCAAGAATCAATAAATATAAAATGTCCATAGCAAAGCAAAAACATTATGGTAAATCAGAACACGTTTTATCTATATAAACTTTTATTAGTATCAGTCAACAGAATAATGTGATTATTTTATGCTGGTTTTATATTTCACAGATGACGCCAAACTCTTCCCAGAATGGTCTACCATTGAACACTCCCTGAAATTCATAATCTGGATCTTTATTGACCGCAATAACAACATTTGTGTGCGACGCATCGGATTTTGGATAACCAGGATGCCACACTTCTGGTGGCAGAGTGACAGCCCCTCCATTTGGCAGCAAGAGCTGATTGTTCTGCAAATAGGCAGTTTTAAAATCTGTTACTTGAAATTATAATGCAGCTAGCAATTACAATAGAAAAGTAAACGCATAATAAATATGATCAACATGTTCTAAGTATAGTGGGTGAAAATACGTTGAACTACTTATGTGTTGGGAACTACATGGAAAACAATGAAAGCCAGAAATTATCGAAAATACTAGAATTCCGATTTGTGACCTATCAAACTGACCTTATACTCCATCCCCGTCCAAACGTCAATCCCTGGCATTCCATCAGGGATCACTGAAAGTAAATAAGTGCGAAGTAAGAGGTAATGCATAAGGTCGTGAATATTCGCCAGTTTTCCGTAGTTGAATGATTTGCAAATTGGTTCAGTATCGTTGAAGGTGACGTTATCAGTTTTGTACACTACTGCTCGGTAGCATTTCGAATTGTATACGACGCCACATTTATCTATAAACACAATTATTTTAGTTATATTCAAAAAATGACTTCAAATATTGACGTCATCAAATTTAGATTTTATATTTTGTAGGTTTGTTTATTCAACGATATGTTCTTCAGAAATACTTTATTATTTTACAGCAGAAAAGAAAAATACTATGCAGATCATACGACAGAAACAAAACAACTTATTTCCGGAGGCGAGTATAGCAAACAATTTCAGACATCTTGTGGATTCTTAATGACCCAGCGACGACTGAGGATCCGATTCTTCAAATATATATATTCAAAGTCAAATCTATATTCAAATCGTGCAATGAAAATTCATTCGTTATGTTTTGAAGAGTGTGACAGATATTATATTAAATCATAAAAACATAGGACAAATTACTTTGTTTCTTGTCATCGAGACTCTTTTTGATCAGTCTGGCGATATCTGCAAAAAAAGTAGAAATATGTTTCAAGTTAGGAGAGCGGATAAAGCGATTTTTATCTTCCGTAAATTGAGACGCTGACGACTTTATATAAGTTGAATAATATAGTGACACTATAAAAAGCGTCGTGTTGTTCGAAATACCAAATTAGAAATTAAATACTGATACGACAGCATCGTGCAGTGTGATTGTTTAAATTATAAGGTTATTTCGCCTGGAAGAATTATAAAAAATCAGAATTAATATCAATAAAGACACATTTTTGTTTATAAAATATACTACGAAGTCAGACGAACTCACCAGATTCATCGTTTTGCTGTGAAATAAAAATGCAGATCATTAATGAATTGATTATGACTTGTTGGACACGAAGTGGACATAACGATCGTTTCAATATTATGTTGTTGTTCTTGTTCTTTGACACGTTTTTAAAAAGTCGCTTTTCTCTTCGAATACTGGACCAATTGCTTTGAAATTTTCAGTGGTTGAAGATAAAATTTTTCTCTAGAAGGCTATTACTTTTATTTATTTTAAAATTTCTTGTGGACTTCGAGAGATTCGTTTTTTGTGTTCAAAGAAGTGATCAGAATAAAAAATAGTGACACCTTGTGGCGATTGCGCGAAGGCATATCAACTGAGAAGCGATCGTAATTCTTGCTCCGCTAAGAGTTGTTTATTAGGCCGCGAGCCGAGGCCATTTATCTTTCAGTTTCGTAGCGCACATCAGGTAACTACCTGAAAATGATTTTAAAATGTTCCTTAGAAATTTAGTAACAAATATTGCCTTGTTCCCACTTCCAAAAGTTGCACGTTTTACAGAAAAGACGCTTTTACTACAATAAATATGTGTTACCATCTGTCCTATTTTCTCTGCTTTTCCGGTATCATGGGCCAATGAACGCAGACTTCTGCACGACGTAACAGTCAAGTTAGTCAGCTGTAGGTGGATCCCCAGTGGTCGGATGAATATCAGATGTACTCAACTGCTCGCTTTTGCGTTGAGTAGCCTTTCCATAGCTTTTTTCAGTTACCGGTAATATTAGTCCAGTTATTCTAAGGAGGTGTTGAAAAGTATAGGTAAGATATTAAACACTTGTATATCCTTGCCATAAATAGCAATTTTAGTTGAGCACTAGCTCATAAGACGTTGTTAAATAGGTACGGTGCGGTAACTCCAAGGAAGGCTAGACCTAGAATAATATGTCACAAACAACGATATTTTCTGGCTTGAATGAAATGTTTATGATTAATTTAATGACTCTTCTTGACTATTCAGCAGACTTATACTACTATATAGGCCACAGCATATTTGGAAATAGAAATGAATGGCTGTTTCTGTAATGCACGGTTGTGTGAAAGAGAAGAAATTAATCAATTTTACTAATGTCGGTTGGTCTAAATCTAAATTCATAGAGTCGACAAGAACCTGGGAAGCAATGTTAAGTTATGCCGGAGTGGAAAGAAAGGTAGCATTGGAAATGATTGAGAGGTGAGATATGAAGTTGTAGACAAACAGTTGATGTTTCAAAATATAGTCTATAGTCCATACTCATACTGTCATAGGACATTTCAGACTGTGATATATCAAAATTTAGTGTAGATATAGTCTAGTAATGGTATGCAAACACTGCTGGACTGTAGAACATGCAATGAGCATATATACGCTCATTTAGTACATCAGATAAAATGCATTTTGTATTCAAGGTATTAGTTAGTATTTAGGGGTATTTTTAAAATCATGCTGCTCCAAATATTATTTTCTTCCTTATTTTAGATACTGTACTACAAAAGAAAACGGCAATGTTCCACCAATCCGACCTAACGCAGGCTCTGATCCCTGCTGCTATCAGTGCTATAAAATGGATTAAACAAGAAGTCTTGAAGCTTAAAGGTATATGAGAATCATAATAGTTGCAAACAGCTTAGATGGATTATTCATATTGAAATACTTTAGCACTTTTCTGCAATTGGAACTGCCCATCAAATTCATGTTGGAGACTTCATTGAGATTTTCAATTCATTTTTTTCCCTCGACTATGAAGATCTTTTGAGGTTAACGAGGTATTAATAAATAAAGCTGAGGAATTTGAAGAGGATATGAAGAATGTAAATGATACCAGGGCACGTCTATTTAACACTGTCAAACATAAGGATTATACTCTCCACCCAACAATGATTCACTGAAGAAGCATGTGGCCCTCAAATCAGTTCTTGAGTTGGCAAACTGCAAAGAAAAATAGTCAAAATAATTTATGAAAGTGTGCCAAAATCAACTTAAATTGCACAGATTTTTGTTTTTGTATTGACTGCAGAAATCACAGTACACCTATAGAGGAAAAGTCGATTTTTGAGATAGTGGATTTCGAAAACAATTCAGAAGAAAGTGAATTAGATATTACAGTTGATTTAATAAGTATCATACATTTGTTTGTTTTTTTCGGACATTTGTTAGTGTCGTAGTCCTGTTTCTAGAAATATTATTGCCTTTGTTCAAATACATAACCACATAAACTAAAAAAAGATTAATTGTAAATTGTAATATTTCTGTTCACTATGTTATGTACATATTGTACATTCATTTAATTTTCTTGACTTTTGCGGTAAATTTCTAAGTGAGAAATAACTGATTTATTTGTGTTTTCGTGCTCACGATGTTAATTTGTGACTTCATTGCTTAAAAATAAATACGTTTGATACTTGATAGCTTCTATGAAATGGATGTAGCTTTTTATGCTGTTCTTGTTGTAAACTGCTTGTGGTTATTACATAAAATTTATTCTCAAATGTGAATCAGCGTTGTTGGTGTCGCTGCTTTCGAGGTCACTCCCGACTCCTGTCACACAATTAAAGTATTTTTTGTTGTTGGTTACATGTATGCCATATTTTTCGTAATCTACCTAATAAATTATGATTGACTGAGGAAGTCCGATTTTGGTCAGGCAAAACATTACAGGAATACATTTGTGTTAGTGTGCTGTAGGGCTCTCGAATTGTATAGTTCTTATGTATGCGTTGTAAACTTATGGTTATTGAATTTCCGGGAACCTCTTATATTCAATTTCGCACCAGGATTGTGGAACAAGCTGTAATGCGTTCATTATGTTCGTTTTCACACAAAACTGAAGAATTTATTTAGTTACCAGATGTGCGCTACGAAACTCATTTTCTGGGCGTTTTCATGGTTTCGTCTCACGGCCCATATCCGTGGTAAGGATCTACAAGTGTTTAATCATTTACTTATACATTTTTCAACAACGTCTTAGCATAACTTAACTAATAATAACTAAACAGGGCTATGGAAAGCCTGCCCAACTCAGCGCAAGGTCGAGCAGAAATAACTAATATTCATCCGCTCGCTAACAGCTGGTTTAATTCAATTGTTACGTCATGCAGAAGTCATTGTTCAGTGCCGAAAATGTAGAGAATATAGGACAGATCGTAGCACATATTTCTTGTAGTGAAAGCGTCTTTTCCGTAAAACGTGCAACTTTTGGAAGTGGGAACAAGGCAATATTTGTTACTAAATTTTTAAGGAACATTTTAAAATCATTTTCAGGTAGTTACCTGATGTGCGCTACGAAACTCACTTTCTAGGCGTTTTTCAGGGCCTCGGCTCGCGGCCTATATGGGGAATCGAGATGTTTGGGGTTACCGGTACCCGCAATGCAGCAATGCAACGGTTTGCGATTTCAATAAACTCGAAAGGTTTTTGAGGTTAAGTTAAACTACCGATACTGTTTCGCTCGGTGTTCAATCAAGCAATGTTCACTTTCCATATATTTCAGTATTTGTAGACTGTGGTTCCCGTGTTAAGCGAAAGTGATACCGGTACCGGTACGATAGCTGGGAAAGCTATGACAGTCCCTGTGGCCTGTACGGCACGTACCGGTACCGTTTACAGGTTTACGTACCGTCTTACCAATACCGGTACCGTAGTCCGTTACGGTACGTACCGGTACAGCTGTACAGGTACGATATCGGTAGACTAGTACAGTATTACTGTACTAGTTGCATTAATTATATTTGTTTAGAGTGTGTGCCTGCATTGAAATTAAGTTTTTGTAATGAGCCAGCATGTCTGCACAGCTGCTATGCCTTTCTAATTTTTCGCTGTTTCGTTACATTTTTTTGGAAACAACATTTGCATAAATACGTATGGTACCGTATGCAGAGGAAGAAACTTCACAAAAATTTCAACATGTGCAGCAGGTTAGTGTACATAAATCAGTAAATACAGAAATATGCAGAGGAAGAGACTTTACGAAAAAGGATAAGATTTACATAATTATCCCGATAGAGAGGAAAGCCTATAGAACGGCTTAACCATATTGCGAACCACTGCCTCTTGTCTGGTTACCGGTAAGGTACCATTCCAAGTCTGGTATGGCTGTATGGGAGAAGCATTACAATCTTTCCAATTGAACAGCGTGATGCAATTATTGCAAATAGTTTTCGTGTCCATATATTTGAGCATTGCTCTCTTGTTTTATATTGTATTAGTTGTGCAGAAAGAACGCCTCGCACAGGATCTAAACATTGATTAGAGCTTCGGGCCATCCCTTTTGACAGGGTACTCTCGTAGTATGTGTACCAGGGTTTGGGTTAGGTCATAATTTTATTCCGATTTTCCCTATTTTAGTTATATTACAAGTTCGGGACTGTATGTGATAGCCAAGTGATATACCCCTTTGCCCATAGGCTTCCGTTCCTTTGCACAACTTGATGTAAAGTAGGCGAACAATATAAGTTACCTTCATAGTGGTACACACACTTCTGGAACGCCGAAAACAGTACATCTTTCATTATCAGTCATTGGTTTACCAAACCTCATTCGGAGTGGAGGCGCAAAAAGTTTTATGAGAAACAGCAAATTTAATTTTACCTGGCAATCTCCAACTTGGACAAGTTTCCCATTTCTAATCTTGGAAACGCAGGATCCAGCTGTCAAATATAAAACGGGATTTTTCACACAAAGTTGAATAAAAGGGAAAATTGTTGCGCAAAAATCTGAATTTGTTTCTACGTCATTGGTTGACTAAATTCCTAAAATTGTTCGATATTATACTAGAAGCAAGTCTCACCTGGTATTTTTTGTGCAAACAATCCATAAATGAAAGTGATTAGGTAAATTACTTTGACAATATTCATATTTGTTTTGGTACAGTTTGATGACGCAACTTGCTTAGATGCAAAGTTAATATCTGTAAAACATTTAAAAGTATGTTTACTTTCTTGTAAGCTGATATGAAACATCGATTGTCCCACATTAGCAGCATTAAATCCTGATTCACCCATCGTTAAAGTGCAATTAGGGGCAATTCTAATCATTGTCCAGCATTAGTTAACTTGTAATGGCAGCAATCGGACACTCTCTGTGACATCACAGGCCTGCAACTCTGTGACATCAGGGTGGGACCGCGTGATCGAAACAGAAAGTGAACAATTAGTGTCTCGACCAGTGATTGCGAAGCAGAAGAAGGCGACAAATGTATATTTGCAAATCCAAGTACTAATTTTGCATTATCGAACTGTCAGCCATATAACAGGTTTGTTTCGCGGACCCTGCGAACGACCCCATTGGTGCGCGGACCCAACTTGGGAACCACTGCTGTATATATATATAATACGTATGTATATATATATACAATTCAGTATATGAAATACGCTCGTATTGCACAATTTTTAAGTAAAACAAATCTACCAGCGCTTGTAGAATCAGCGAGTCCGCTTCACACAGCTGACGATGCTAAGTGATCAAACAGCGATTTATAAAAAAAAAATTAAAAGTTAATAAAAGCCCGCATGACGCAGCATACAATTTGTAATTACAAATTATATTTCGTATAGTGTTTTGTTTAGCGTGATATCCTGTGATTTATATAAAAACATAATATAAAACATAATATTTGTGTTGCACCCTATTACCCTGTGCTAGATTTCTGAATAAAAAAATGTAAAAACGGCTGCATTTCGCAAAAACTAAACTTATTTCACCCTTTATAATAATTTAGTTACAGGTAGTGTTATTTATCGACTAATTTTTTGTTGCATTCTATTATTACTCTGTGCTATAATTTTAAATATAAGATAAAACAAACTTATTTCACCCTTTCTAATAACGCAGTTGCGGAAAGTGTTAATTATAATTTAAATTTTGGTTGCACTTTATTGCCCTGTGCTATATTTTTAAATGTAGGATTAGTCATAAACTAAACTTAATTCAACTTCTATAATAATGCAGTTACCTGAATTGTTGATTGTAATTTGAATGTTTGTTGCACCGTATTACCCTGTGCTATATTTTTGAATATCGAACAGTGAACACGGCCAGATTAAAACCAAACTTAGTTCACCTTTTATAATAGCGCAATCGCGGGCAATCTTGATTATAGCCCAAATTTTTATTGTACAGTATTATTCTGGACTATGCCCAGAAAACAAAGCTCTTGTGGACAACCGTATGAGAATCCCGTGGACAAGCCTGATAATTGCTTTTTTGTTCTCGTGTGGATTAAAAATATGTCGGATGTCAAAAATCCTGATATATGAGCTCCTGCTTATAGATATTGTTATATTCAAATTACCGACTTTTTGCCATATTACGATATTTTCCGTATTTCAACGCTACTGTTGTCAAATTTTTTACTGCTTTGGACAGTTACAAATTTGTCCACGTCAGTATTTTGATAATTAATCGAACAGCTCGCGGACCCCTTTGCTCCGTACGTAGCAATTGGAAACCTGTGCCTTAGAGGCCACAGAAATGTTTGAAATAAATAGAAGTAATATCCTAGCAAAAAATACAATATTTAATCACTGAACATTTTAAAGTAGTTTATCCAGTAAATAAAGATTGAGCGATTTTTCATCACCAGGAGAAAATGAAACCCCAACAACATAAAAATACCAAAACGAAATATAGCAAAGGGGAATGGGGTGCAAAATGAATAAAACTATAACCAAACTTTCGTAACTGCACTATTATTATAAAGGGAGTTTGGTGTTTGTTTCGTGCTCCCAATTTTATATTTATAAACATAGCGTAGGATAATACAGTGAAACAAAAATTTTGAATAACAGATAAAATTGCCTGTAACTGCGTTATTATAAAGGGTGGCCAAAGTTTGATTGTTGCAAAACACAGCCGTTTTTACTATTCTATATTCATAAATATAGCACAGGGTAATGGAGTGCAATAAAAATGCTAAACACTATAAACTCGCAACTGGACTCTTATTGGTTGTTGCGCAATGTGGGCGTTTTTCTTAGTCTATTTTATAATCATTAGGGATGGCGGAATCGAGTCCGGATTCGATTACAGAATCGATTCTTCGCGGAATCGACTAGAATCGATTCCGATGCACCGGAATCGATTCTCGAGTTTGAAACTTGGATTGCAAACAATGTGTAACGTTTTGTGGCAATTTCTTCACATATATATATGTATGAACTGCTTCACTGCTATGTTGAGTTGCTACGACACCGCAAACTTCACTATATATAATATATATATTATAAATATCGCTAGTAGGCTTTAACGTTTATTTATTTTAAAAATCTCTGTGGGTTCTGAGGGATTCGTTTTTTTTTTGTGCGGTTTTGTCTCATGTGGTAGATTGGATATCCATACTACTTAGTTTCGGCCTTCTTGTCCGTCCATAATTTGAACATCGCTGTCTTGCTTGATTTCATATGATATTGCTTGCGTGGGTATATTTTTTGGTAATATGTCGAGGAATCGAGATTCGGAATCGAGAATCGGAATCGAAAATTTAGAAATCATACTAGAATCGAATACCTGTAAGTACTCATACTTGGCATCCTTAATAATCATACGACAGAATAAAATAGTACAAGAAAAATTTAAGCTAAATCAAGATTAATCGCAACTGCGCTATTATAAAAGGTGAACGGACGTATTTCTTAGTCTATGTTATAGACATAGCCCAGAATAATACAGTACAATAAAAATCTATAATCAAGATTTCTCGCAACTGCGATATTATAAAAGGTGAACTAAGTTTGGTTTTCGTTTAATCTAGTCTTGTTTGCTGTTCTATATTTGAAAATATAGCGCAGGGTAGTACGGTGCAACAAAAATTTAAATTATAATGAAAACTTCCTGCAACTGCATTATTATAAAGGGTGAAATTAGTTTGATTTTTGTTCAATCTTATATTTAAATACATAGCACGGGTAAATCAACAAATAATTAATCGATAAATAACACTATCCGTAACTGAAATATTGTAAAGGGGCAACTAAGTTTGGTTTTTGTTTCGTGCTCACAGTTCTATATTTATAAATGTATCGCAGAATAATACAGTGAAACAAACAAAATTTAAATATTCAATAATATTGCCTGTAACTGCGTTAGTATAAAGGGTGAACAAAGTTTGATTGTTGCAAAATACAGCCGTTTTCACTATTCTATAGTCATTAATATAGCACTGGGTAATGAAGTGCAACAAAAACGCTTACAATTGAATAAACTCGCTACCAAACTATTATTGGTTGTTGCGCAATGTGGACGTATTTCTTAGTCTTAAAAAGAAATGAATAAAAACACTATAACGCGAATATAACACTCAATTTCGACGTGATGTGTGTGTTCTCGTGCGGTCGTCAAAAAACCGCAAGTGTCAAGTTCACGCCCCGTGTTACCAAATATTCGAATAGTGACCTACTCCTCTATTATTCGACTTGATATTCGAATATTTTGCCTGCCCTACTCAGTAACTAGAAAGCAATTAAATAAATTGATTGATTTTATGTTAATAAACTTGCTTTTTATGTAGACCTACCATACGTCCCGGTTTGGCCGGGACAGTCCCGGTTTAAACGCCTGTCCCGGTGTCCCGTCCCGGTTAGCAAAATGTCCCGGAATTTTACTTTAGTGAAATTCTCAAAATAATTCCAACCTGAAGCAAAATTATGAATAATTCCGTTCCAAAAGGCATAACTTTGCTTTAACTCGAGGATTATATCTTAATTTTTTCAGCTTATTAGGTTGAATAAAATATCGCGCATAGCTTGAGAAATCCTTTAGTTATAGGGAATAATGAGTGACGTTTATTGCGTCATTATTCTATTGACTTCAATGAAACTACAGCAATTGCTGCATTAGAGGCCTTATTATGCTTGGAGTTGGAGAAGGCATAATAACTTTCATTTGGTTTTGTTTGAGTCATATTATGCTGAAAGTAATCTAGAACTTGAGATTCTGTGGAGTAATGCAATATTAAAGCTTATAAATATAAATTTGCCAAACTCAGGTCTTCGGCCTTTCGTCCAGTTATTTCATTCATAGTTTTGAGTTTGTCCCGGATTATGCCCAAGAAATTATGGTAAGTCTACTTTTATGTATTATGTAAATTACCTACAGCGAAATCATGACTTAGCTGATATTAATATTTGGTACAAACGTTTGCGTTTGCGGCTCGGAAAGAATTTTGTCACGTGCAAGTGGCTCGCGATACGGAATCAAGATTGCTCGCAACTGCGCTATTATAAAAGGTGAACGGACGTATTTCTTAGTCTATGTTATAAGCATAGCCCAGAATAATACAGTACAAAAAAAATTTAAAATAAAATCAAGATTTTTCGCAACTGCGCTATTATAAAAGGTGAACTAAGTTTGGTTTTCGTTCAATCTAGTCTTGTTTGCTGAATACCACAAAAAATTGATCGATACATAGCTGCCTGTAACTGTACACTGCCTGTAACTGAAATATTATGAAGAGTGAAATAAGTTTGGCTCTTGCGAAATAGAGCCATTTTACCATTTATAAAAATAGCACGGGTGCAACAAGCTATTCTATTATTTAATTTGTCCGGTGTTTATATATATTGCAGGAGATTATGTTAAACAAAACACCACACTAATTAAAATTATGTGATTTAAAAAGAATTATAAAAGGTGAACTAAGTTTGGTTTTCGTTTAATCTAGCCTTGTTTGCTGTTCTGTATTTAAAATATAGCATGGGTGAATTAAGTTTGGTTCTTGCAAAATGAAGCCGTTTTCACCATTAAAAATTTATAAATATAATATCACTGGGTAATTTGGTGCAACAAACATATTTTATATTTTTTATTATGTTTTTGGACTTGAAAGAGGTAGCCGAAGTCCTTTCTTTAGTGACAGTTTCAAATCCGAATCGAGTGATATTTTAAATTTATTACTGAGATGACACTTCTCGTATGTGTGAAAGATTCTGTTTTTGTTTTGGACATTTTCGAATCCGATATTGGTAAGGAAGGGGTAGAAGTAAAAATAGAATAGACGATCAAATGAAATTAATTGCGTTTCAAATATTAAGGCCAAGGCGGAACCGCCACAAGGTGCGCAATTTTGATGACATAATTGCACACATGAAACGAATCCCATACAGGCCACAGAACGGTTTTAAATAAATATAAGTGATATCCCAGCAAAAAAAACTGAATCTTTAACCACTGGACATTTTTAAAGTAGTTTATCCAGTAAATTAAAGATTGGGCAATTTTTCGTCACAAGAAAATGAGATACTAACAACAACATAAAAATAACAAGACGATTTATAGGTACATTTCGCGTGTCCGAAATAAAGCACAGGGGAATGGGGCGCAACAAAAATTAAACTACAACCAAACTTTCCGTAACTACTCTTTTATAAAGGGTGAACTAAGTTTGGTTTTTGTTTCGTGCTCACAATTCTATATTTACAATTTTAGCGCAGGATAATACAGTGAAAAAATTTAAAATCTGCGTTATTATAAAGGGTGAACTGAGTTTGGTTTTTGTTTAATCTAGTCGTGTTTACTGTTCTATATTTAAAAATATAGCAGAGTAATACGGTGCAACAAAAATTTAAATTACAATCAACACTTCAGGTGACTGCGTTATTATAAAGGTGAAGTAGGTTAGGTTTTTATTTAATCCTACATTTGAAAATATAGCACCGGGTAATAGGTAAGGATGCCAAGTATTCGATTTTTATCCGATTCCTCGACATATCTTACCGAAAACACATACCCACCTAAGCAATACCATATGAAATCAAACAAGAGCACGATGTTCAAATTTTGGACTGCCAAGAAGGCCGAAACTAAGTAGTATGGGTATTCAATCTGTCACAGGAGACAAAATCGCACAAAAAAAACGAATTCCTCAGAACCCACAGAGATTTTTAAACTAAATAAACGTTAAAGCCTTCTAGCGAAATATATATATAGTGAAGTTTGCGTCGTCGTAGCAACTCAACATAGCAGTGAAGCAGTTTATACATATATGTGGAGGAATTGCCACAAAACTTTACACATTCTTTTCAATCCAAGTTTTAACTCCGAGAATCGATTCCAATGCATCGGAATCGATTCCGCGAAGAATCGATTCTGTAATCGAATCCGGACTCGATTCCGCCATCCCTAGTAATAGGCTGCCACGAAAAGTTAAATTATAATCGACACTTCCTGTAAAAGCGCTTTTATAAAGGGTGAAACAAGTTTGGTTTTTCTTCAATCTTATATTTAAATACATAGCACGGGTTGATGCAGCTAATAATTATTCGATAAATAATACTGCTCGTAACTGAATTATTATAAAGGGTGAAATAAGTTTGGTTCTTGCGAAATAGAGCCGTTGATACATTTTTTTATTCAAAAATATAGCACAGGGTAATGAGGTGCAACACAAATATTATAATTTTCAATATGTTTTTATATATATCACAGGATATTACGCTAAACAAAAATTGGATGCTGGGTCGTGCGGGCTTTTAATTAATTTTTAATATATTTATTTTTGTAAATAGCGAAGACAAAATCGCTGTTCGATTACTTGGCATTGTCAGCTGCGTAAAGTGGACACGCTGATTTACAAGCGCCTTTCGATTTGTTTCACTTGAAATTTCCGTAATACAAGCGCATTTTGAATTATTCTATATTTAGAGTTTTATCCCAGGGAAATGGCTTGCAACAAGCATCGATACGTATAGTATAAATTGCCACCAATTGCACTTTTTCAACGAACGAATCAAGTTTTGTTACTTTGCTATGTTGGGCGATTTTACTATTTTTAGATGTAGCGCAAGAAAAAGCGTCAAGCAGAATAGGAAACGATAGTGTTAATGTTATTGACTTTTGTACTGACTTAGATGCCAGATGTTAAAGAAATGGAATGATACACGGGCGGGCGGAAAAGAGCGTAAATGGCATGAAGTAGATTTAGGGGTGTGTGTCCTTCAATGTGGGAGGGGCGCATTTGGCCCGCGGTATGCAGGTTGCAATCCCATGATGTAGAAAGCTGATATAGTCTCCGGGGCAAGGCTTGTTCCATTTCGTCTTTTGCAAAGATCGGCAATTTGACGAGACGCTTTGGTGCTGTAATGCTATCAAACAGAACTGTTCGTTTCGTTGCTAAACATGCAGCATAGCAACTACTTGGATCAAATTTGGTTGTTGTAGTATGCAGGCGATTTTACTATTCTATATTTAGCGATATAGTCGAAGGTATTGGCGTATACTAAAAATGTTAAACGATAAGTTGATTTGTCCGCAATTGCACTTTTTCGTTGGGTGAATAAGGATTGAAAGCTGCTAATGTGGGCTATTCGATGTTTCATATTAGCTTAGTTAAACATACATATAAATGTTTTACATATCTTAACTTTATATCTAAGCATTAGGTAACTACATCAAACCGTTCCAGAACAAACATGTATTTTGTTAAATTAGTTTACTTAATCACTCTTATCTGTGGATTGTTTGCGAAAAAATTACCAGGTAAGATTTGCTTCTGGTATAATATCCATCCAGTTAGGGTGCTCCCGTAGTATTCGTACCAAGATGGCGCACAACCTGAACATTGTATGTGAACTAGGTTAGGTTTAGCATGCTGTGCGCCATCTTGGTACGAATACTACGCGAGCGCCAAATTTAGTAAACCAATGACGTAGAAACACCCGTTAATTTTGGAATATTGTTTTGCCATTTTTTCCAACTTTGAAAATTCCCCTTTATGCTTGACAGCTGGATCCTGCGTTTCCACGATTAAAAATGGGAAACTCGTTCAAGTTGGAAATTGTCAGGTAAAATTAAATTTGGTATTTCTTATAAAACGTTTCGACGCCTTCACCCCGAATGAGGTTTGAGAATTAAGTAAGTGATAAAGAAAAGTTGTACTATTTTGAAGAAAACGGCGACTCAAGCAGTAGTCAAGGTTTGCATCATGTGCGAAGCGTTCCTCCGACTGATAGCTGTGATGCGACTGAACTAATACTATATAAAACAAGTCATGATAAATTTATTAAATATCTGCATTTTATATTTATTTTACAGAAAAACGATGGATCCGGTGAGTTTGTCTAACTTCGTGATATATTTTGAAAACCAAAATATTTTTTTAATTCAGAATTTTTAAAATTTTTCCTGGCGACACGATCTTATAACTTCAACAATCACAATGCACGATGCTATTGTATCAGTATTTGTTTTCTACTTTTCTACTACTGTTATTTCGAACTGTATGGCGCTTTTATAGTGTCACCATATATATACAAGGCAAAGTTGTATAGAGTCTTCTCAAGATACGGAACACAAAATACGCCTCAATCTTTCTCTTTTAAAGCAAACATATTTCTATTTTTTGCAGAAATTGCCAGATTGATCAAAAAGAGTCTTGATGAGAAGAAACAAATTCAAAGTGATTTATTTGATAAATTGAATGCAATACCAGTTCTACTTTTCAAAACGTAACAAACAGTTTTTCATAGCGCGATTTGAATATTGATTTGACTTATTAAAAACTTTAGGAATCGGATACTCATTCGTAGATAAGTGATTGAATCAACCAATATTCAGTTACGACTCCACGTATCAACAAGGTGTCTGCTATTGTCGCCTCCGGAACAACATTTTTTGTTGCTACCGTGTGATTTGTTTTCTCTTCTGAAATAAAAAAATACAGTATTTTTATGAAATGAAAGAATCGAAATTGGATGACCCCATTTTCTGAATATAACATACCAATGATTTAATATTTTACAGCTGAATGTGGCGTCGTATACAATTCGAAGTGCTACCGAGCAATTGCGTACAAAATTGATAACGTCACCTTGAAAGATGCTAAATTAATTTGCAAATCATTGAACTACGGAAAACCGGCGAATATTTACGACTTGACGCATTACAATCTACTTCACACTTATCTACTTTCAGTGGTTCCTGCTGGTTTATTGGGAACTGACGTGTTCACAGGCATGCAGTATAAGGTCAGATTGATATGTCATAAACTGGAATTCTAGTATGTTCGATAATTTTGGGCTTCATTGATTTCCATGTAGTTCCTAACACCTAAGTACTTCAATTTAACTTTACCTACCATACTTAGAACATGTTGATTACTTTATCAGTTTTATTTTCTATTCTAATTGTTAGCTACGTTATCATTTTAAGAAACAGATTTTAAAATTTTTATTTGATTTTTACAGAACAATCAGCTCTTGCTGACAAATGGCGAGGCTGTCACTCTGCCACCAGAAGTGTGGTATCCTGATAATCCAAAATCCCATGTAACGCACACAAGTGTTGGTATTGTGGTCAATAAAGATCCAGATAATAAACTTCAGGGAGTGTTCACTGGGACACCATCCTGGCCAGAGTTTGGCGTTGTCTGTGAAATATAAAACCAGCATAAAATATTTACAGCTGTGGACTGATTGATACAGATAAAAGTATATGTAGATGAAACATGCTCTCATTTGATAAATATTTTTATGCTTTCCTATGGACGCTAATTTTATAATATTCATTTTTTGAATAATTAGGTTATTGTTGGATCGTGTGTGAAAGAGTATAGAATATGAACGGCCCATAGATTATGTAAAACTACATTTTGCAACGGCTGTCTTTAGATCTGAATAAAATAATAATTTTAGGCCCCATTTTGCCCCCGCTTTAGGCCCCATTTTGTTTATATTTGCTTTTGGACAGCCGTATTAAATTTTGTTTGTCAGAGCAGTCAGTAAAACAGATACAGTAAAACAAAAATTTTGAATATCAGATAAAATTGCCTGTAACTGTGTTATTATAAAGGGTAGGCTAAGTTTGATTGTTGCGAAATGCAGTCGTTTTGGGTGTACGTGTATTTCTTAGTCTATGATATGACCATAGCCGGGAATAATACAGTGAAATAAAAATTGGAACTATAATCAAAATTGCTCGCAACTGTGCTATTATAAAAGGTGAACTAAGTTTGATCTAGCCGTGTCTGCTGTTTTATATTTAAAAATATAGCACAGGGTAATAGGGTGCAACAAAAATTCAGATTACAATCAACAATTCAGGTAACTGCATTATTATAAAGGGTGAAATAAGTTTGGCTTTTGTTTTATCTTATTGTTTGAAAATAAAAGCACAGGGTAATAATAGAATGTAACAAAAAATAAATCGAAAAATAAAACTGCGTGTAACTGAAACATTAAAGAGGGTAAAATAAGTTTGGCTATTGCAAAATGCAGCTGTTTTTACAATTTTATATTTATAAATATAGCACAGTGTAATAGGGTACAATACAAGTATACTATTTTCAACATGTTCATATATATCACAGGAGATTACGTTAATATACAAAACACTACACGAAATATAATATCTGACAAAATTGGATGCTGCGCCATACAAGCGTTTATTTAATTTTTAATAAATATTTTTAAAAAATATTTACAAAATCGTTGTTCGATCACTTAGCATTGTCAGCTGCGTAAAGCGGACAAGCTGATTTACAAGCGCATTTTGGTTTGTTTCACTTAAAATCAGCGTAATACAAGCGTATTAAAAATGTTCTATATTTGGAGTTATATCTCAAGGAAATGGCTTGCAACAAACATTGATACGTATAGTATAAATTGCCACCAACTAAACTAAACTGTGCATTGAAATGGTAGCCCTCGGCTTAATCTGTACCCAGAAAGTAGCCATCGGCTTCAGAAAAGTTGGTGACCCCTGCAATAGACTTTAGTCATTCAAAACCCATCCTACGCGCAAAAATGAAAGTGGCCTAAACAAAACGATTTTTAACATTAGCTCTTATGAGGAATGTGATCACCAGAGCAGAAATTTGCATTTTTAGTAATTTTCTAGTTATCTTTCATTGTAGACGTGTGCAGTTTTAAGAATAGAATATTTTTTATATATTTTTTGATATTTTTATCATAATAAACATGGTCAAATTTTTTGATAATCGTATATTGAAATTTTAATGAACGTGGTGTTGCCGCTGACGTCACTCCACCAAGACCAGCGGTCCCCAAAGTGGACGAAAACGCCCCTTTGTGGGCGTTTGCGACAACCAAGGGGGCTGACTGCAAATTGGGGGGCGCTTGATATTAAACTGGGCGATTGGGAGCGCTGACAACAACTATAATTTAATTACTACAGTTATTTGATTTGTTCGACCAGGTTTGCTCGTAATTCTGGTGTGAGGGATCTCATTTGACGTAATAGCTTATGCCTTTTTTTTATTTATTCCGCACTGTTTCGTAACAATACTAGTCTGGCGCATGGCAGACGTGTATTAATACTTCATTCACCGCTCTCCTTCTTCTTCTGTCCGGCATGTTTCGTTGTTTAGTTCCTAATTAACTTGCAGTTTTATTAAACTGCCGCGTTTCAAGGTAGGACCATTTATACGTTGCGACTCAACTAGTTCATTCATTTTTTTTTTCTGGTGCCATTGAGTAACTAGGCTTCTTGACTTGGTAAACGGCACAGTTTTAGGTCAAAACTGTTGCGATGCCATGCTGCACCTGACATTATTTAATCATTCGTGTTGCATAAGTTAGTGATATCTAAGATAGTGACCTAAGCTATTTATCTGATTTAGATTATAACAGTATACTAACATTAATTTCAAAGCACTACAATGAGTTTGCCGAAACGAAAATGTAGGCAATATAGCACAAGTTATCTCCAATATGGATTCCTTCCAGCCTCAAATTCGGATTCGCAACCGATGTGTTTGCTTTGTAATAAAACATTTTCTAATGAAGCGATGAAACCGTCCAGGCTTTCTCAGCATTTAACAAAATTTCATCCGGATAAAGCAGACAAAAATGTTGCATTTTTTCAGACACTCTAGGATAATTTAAATAAGCAAAAAAACATGGTAGGTTAACATGTTTTCAAATTTATCTCAGAAAAGCGATGATGGTTTACTTGCACTTTACAATTTTGTCTTTAATGATAGCAAAAAAAAGCAAACCGCGTACGATTGGTGAAGAGTTAATTCTACCACCAGTATAGGAAGTTTTGAAAACGGTTTTGCATTACAAGGCGTCTTCTACAAATATCAAGTCTATTCCAATGAGCATTAATACAGTACAGAGACGAGTTGATGAAATGGCCCCTGATATAGAAGATAGGCTCTGCAGTTTAATTAGAAAAACAGAATTCAGTCTTCAACTAGATGAGTTCACATTACCGGGAAATGAATCAATGCTACTCGGATATGTTCGGTTTCTGCAGGATGGAGTCTTACACGAAGAGCAGGCAATGGCTCTATCGCTGGAATCAGACACTCGAGGCGAAACAGTGTTTTGGGTGGTCAAAAAATATTTTGAAGATAACAAAATTCCTCTGACCAATATCATAGCTTGTGCAACTGATGGCGCTCCAGCTATGGCTGGTCGTTACCGTGGCTTCTTTACACTTCTGAAAGACGAAAGCCCAAGTATGCTATGCTGACTTTCACTATGTAATTCACCAACAACATTTGGTGGCCAAGAATTTGAGCGCTCGTCTTAGTTTTGCTTTGACGATAGTCATCAAGGCAGTAAATAAAATGAAACAATGAAAAGTATTTGAGCGCTTACTACTCCACACCGAAGTAAGATGGCTTTCCAAGGGGAACTGCCTTACCCGATTTTACTCACTTTTCGATACTGTTGTTGAATTCCTACAAACTTGCGATCCGAGTCTCGTGAAATGATGTTATGGTGGTCAAAAATGATATCGCTTACTTAGCAGACATATTTTCTAAATTTAATGAACTGAATTTATCTCTTCAGAGAGACGAAATAAATCTAATAAAGGTGAAATCGGCAGTGTCTGTGTTCAATAAGAAGCTTGTGGTCTATGAACGAAATTTATCTCGGCGAGAATTTTTTCAATTCTCACGCTTACAACATATAGAGACTAGTGGCAGGAGCATACCTAATAATGACATAGACACTTACAGAAAGCCTCTCCAGGAATTACACAATGACATGAAAGTTCGTTTCAAGGATTTTTTTCAATTGGATATTCCGTCATGGATAATTGACCCATTTAGTAATATTTCCGAACATGGAATTCTTGAGGAGGAACCTATAACATTGCAAAGCGATTTTGAACTCAAACCAAAGTTCAGTGTTTCGCATCAATTGCTCTGGCTACAGAATCAAATCAAGTTGAAATATCCTCATGTGTGGGATTGTGGTAAAAAAAATTCCCATTGTCTTCCCCAGCTCACACATACTTGGTAGAGCGTGCGTTCAGTGCCGTGACCGCGCTTCTGGATAACAAGAGAAACCGTCTTGACATAGTCAGACGAGGAGACTTAAGACTGTTTCTGACTAAAATGATACCGGATATTAATAGAATGGCGGCATTTAACCAGGTTCATCCTTCTCATTAGACTAAATATTATATGGAAAATAAATTTCTTTCATCTTTTTAGTCAAGGGGCGTTCATTAGTCAACAATTTGACGTGTAACATTGACAGTATTTTATCTATAGTCTATACCATTTCACTCGCTTTTGTTTACTGGTTTTACGCATTTATACATTTACAGTTAGCAACCATCTACTAAAGGCATGCTTTTATTTCAAACCACCGGTACTGGTACCAAGAGGGTGAAAACTAAATCATAACGATAATGTTAGCAAATAAGTCCCGGCAGGATAAGTTGTATGCAAAAACCAAGATAAGAATCTCCAATCTATTACATTAATCAGTAACGGTATCCTAACTAGGTTAAAAACATGTCATTCTGCAAGAAGATAAATTCTCGACAAAATTCTGTCGCCAATGTAACCGGTAATCAGTAGTTTATTTCTCACCATACTTAAAATAGGCACAAACATACAAATTGCAATAAATTAAATTATAAATTGGCCATATTTCAGGGTGAAGGAGACGCGAGAAACCAATACTGGTTATCGAGCAGCGGCACCTATAAAATAAGTCTAACACTATAATATAAAAAACAAAAAAACGAAATAAGTTTAAATAAATTGAGGAAAAAATAACATAAAATATCTCGAGACGATCTGCTGTAACCAGCAATCGCTCGCTTCAACCAAAGTGACTATAATAGTCACTTAGGCTTCAACAAAAGAAAAGACAACTCCGAACACCACTGATTCGGTAGCCATGGAGATGGCGATAGTGGATTGTATCACAACAATACTATTGTGATGCCCATTAGCTAACAATGGGCAATATATGTCAAATTCTGATGGCGCATGGTTATTGGTTACAGTGGAACCCATGGTTTGCTGAGGGCGACAACAGGATCACCAACGAATAAACCATACCTTTATGCTAGAAAGGAATTGAGGTACCTGTTAATGGGATCTAGTGATTGGAAGCTGGAGTCAGGGCTTCACATAACGTTACATGAAATATAAAATCAGGGAAGACATGAAATATCAAAATGTGAAAGATATTCCATAACAGTCATTCAAAACGAATGTAACCTAGTATCAACATTCACAGTGGGAAACTAGATAGACTACAAGACATGAAGCAGCAAAACTAAGAAGAGTCAAGTACCGTAGTCTAATAGTCATAGTCATAGTCAATTTTATTTTTTCCAACCAGCAAAAAAATAACATACAAAATCAAAAGATAAACAAAATTTAACACA